AGTAGAGTAACTACTATTATATTACCACAAATAATTTGTAATGACATCCTTCCAAACCATTCATTAGAAAAAGGCCTGAGAAATTCATGGAACATTTTCAACATTAACAAAAATACCATAAAGGAAAAGACTGTCTATGTTCTTATACATACTTGAAAATTCAAAATGTTTGACTGTACTTCTGAAGAATGGACATTACTATATTCTAGACCTTTACAAAGTTTTGGTCAGCATTTCTCAGTTGGTGTGATGAGATCTCAGGGATTTAGGTTTTTCTGTGCAATGCAGGCTCACGAACTGGACCTTGTTTTACTGTTACTACAAGGCAGTGTCACAAACCTCTGAAGATCACGCACAACCCATAAGCAGAAAAGGGATCTTCTGTCCTCCCTCTCTAGCTGAGGGAAACTTGTATGGAGGTTCTCTGCACTTCAGGTGTTCCCAGCTGCCTTCCTGACCTGAGTGGGCTGGTGGCAGCAGCTTCTGGATTGCTCCATCCAACACTGGGCAAACAGCCTCTACTCAGGCTGCTCAGAAGCAGGAATGTTCTTTTATTCCTTCATGCTTACACTGACACTGTGGCTATAAACCCTGCTTAGGACAGGGAGCCTGATATAATAAATACTCATAACAGAAGTGGCAAGTTAATGATACATTAAGCCAGTATATAATCAAACCCAAATTCACATCCCTTTCCTTCAAAGGGAAGAATGCACATTTGACTTAGTTTATTTAGTATCAGCTATGATAATGGAGAAAACCAGTATCTTATTATGCAGGTACCTAAACAAAGGCATCCTTATCTTCAAATACTTCAAATGATCAGACTTGCTGACATTTTATGGGAAAATTATCTCTACAGACTATCTTTCACATTTATATATATATATATATATACACACTTCTTTTCTTTTCTTTCTTTTCTTTTCTTTTCTTTTCTTTTCTTTTCTTTTCTTTTCTTTTCTTTTCTTTTCTTTTCTTTTCTTTTCTTTTCTTTTCTTTTCTTTTCTTTTCTTTTCTTTTCTTTTCTTTTCTTTTCTTTTCTTTTCTTTTCTTTTCTTTTCTTTTCTTTTCTTTTCTTTTCTTTTCTTTTCTTTTCTTTTCTTTTCTTTTCTTTTCTTTTCTTTTCTTTTCTTTTCTTTTCTTTTCTTTTCTTTTCTTTTCTTTTCTTTTCTTTTCTTTTCTTTTCTTTTCTTTCTTTCTTTTCTTTTCTTTTCTTTTCTTTTCTTTTCTTTTCTTTTCTTTTCTTTTCTTTTCTTTTCTTTTCTTTTCTTTTCTTTTCTTTTCTTTTCTTTTCTTTTCTTTTCTTTTCTTTTCTTTTCTTTTCTTTTCTTTTCTTTTCTTTTCTTTTCTTTTCTTTTCTTTTCTTTTCTTTTCTTTTCTTTTCTTTTCTTTTCTTTTCTTTTCTTTTCTTTTCTTTTCTTTTCTTTTCTTTTCTTTTCTTTTCTTTTCTTTTCTTTTCTTTTCTTTTCTTTTCTTTTCTTTTCTTTTCTTTTCTTTTCTTTTCTTTTCTTTTCTTTTCTTTTCTTTTCTTTTCTTTTCTATTATTTACCACTAGGGATTTAACTGTATGGTTCAGGATCTTTGTTGTGAAAGCATCCTTCTGTGTCAGTCAAGGTACTTCCTTTGACACTCTAAAGCTTGGTGAAATATCCACAGCAGTTCAAAAGCTACACAAAAAATAATCTTCAGTATCCAACACAGTATCAGAATTCTTGCTATGTTCACTGAAAAGATCATCAAAGGTCACAAATCTGAATGTACTTAAGGACATACGAAGTTTTTCTCATCAAAATCAATGTTCACCTACTCCCAGTTATAGCAGAAGTGGTATTCATTTCAGAAGACTGTTTTCACATTGTTCTGCCCTAGTCACAATTAGGACCTACTATCATTTTAACAGCTACTAGCAGTGTATACATTAATAATTTTACCAGCTACATGGTAATAGGCTGAGATTTTTTGTAGTGGACAATGTTCTAAAAATACAATAGGTATTTTTACAATAGGTATATTGTTACACTGGCATAAAGTTGTGTCTATTCCTAAGTCTTCCTGTATGATTTAGTAAGCCATAACAATTAATAACTGCAAAGGCTCCTGAGTCATACAAAGGCTGATAAGAGATACAGATCTCATAAAATCTTTATAAAACGATGCCCATGGCTTGGGTGAGGTCAAAATCCACACTGGATCCACATTTTGCAGCATCCTCTCTCACTAGAAAGGAAAAAAATTGAATCCTGGATTTGAAAATGATGAAAAGCTTGGGGGGTTTGGCTTCCTAATCACAATCCAAATTATAAAAACAGAGCCAATCTTTAGATAAGGACAAAGGAAGAAAAGGGCTAGTAAAGGAGAAAGAAAATCAATAAGATAAATAGATTTTTCTAAGCAGACTGTATTAAGAGTTTTCCAGGAGGCATCAACTATTCTTTAACACATCGCTGCGTGGAGCTTCTTGTTGAAAAAAGTTTCTAAAGATAAATAATTAAATGCAGGGAGGTTTGAATATTGCATAAAACAGCTATAGTTTTGTTAGATTTAATCCATTTAAGTTTAATCCTGATTCAGTGTGAAACAGTAAAATGCAAAATATAAAAAAATAAAATAACAGGGAATTATAATGGAAAAGCCAGCTCAACCTTAGCTATAGCAGCAATATGAGCATTACTAGAGTACAACAGTTAGCAATACATCAACAGATATGTATAATATACAAATCTAGAGCTTGCTATCTGTGGTAGACCACTTGCTCAAGGCCTCTAAAATATTAACTTACATCCAACGCCAGCTAAATGTGCATGAACTTTAATTCAAAGAAGCAACATTGGAAATTTCTGTGCACTATACAGAAGACACATGTTGATATAAACGTTTGACTTCGGGACATCTTGTTAGCCTGCCCTTAAGCAGCAGAAAGGTCAGAAACTTCTACACGCATCTTGGAGTTACATGGTCTAATCTGTGGTGCTGAAAAGGAAAAGTCATCAAAGATAGTCCTGAATAAAACTGCAAAGGGGCAGACCATTATGCTCACTTCTTTTCTACAAAATCCTCAAAGCAACTCACGTTTGAGGGCTTTGTTTTCTGCACACTCTCCAGATATCATAATTTTGGGCTTCACTGTAGTAAGGTACAGGTTGTATTAAAGAATATTTGGCTTGCCTTTTTACTGTAAAAAATCTGCATGTAATTTTTTTTCAGTAGAAACTAAAAATGTGACGCTACATACTGGCATTCAGGTTGAGTTTGGTGAACCAGATAAAATAATACTTTGCACTTTCAAAAACCTTTCGTCAGAGAATATTCAAGTGCTTTGCTAAAATTAGTCAAGCCTCACAACCCCTCTGTGAGGTAGGTAAAATACATAGGAGGAGGATTTAACTCAACTTGGACACAATAATGTCTCTGGGCATTAGATTCACTACCAGTGCAAGATAGCACAAAGGCTCAGGGTTTACTATAAGGCAGAGTTAACAGTAAAAGAGCACAAGATGATTCCCTCTTCTTTTGGTTATATGTGGCCAAGCTAGCATGTGGTGCTATGCAGCACCAAAAAATGAAGCAAATGCCCACAGAAGGATTTCAGACACCCAATCCATCAACAGCACCCCCTGCTCCAGGTGGGTACAACAGCTTAGTTATGGGATGGATCTACATGTTCTTGAGGAGCAAAGTATTATGCGAATGAGAGCCCAAAAAACAATACCATCACCACACAACTCTGATAGTATCTAATTATGCTTGTGTTTGGCTCTTTTGCACTAATGTTTCAATTCACAACATACTGGGGAGAAGCAACTGCAACTGTGCAGCATGTTGACACCCTCCAAACTGTGAAGGAGACAACGGCTCTTCTTTACTTTGGCTGGCCTCATGTTCGAAATGTACAGGGCCATGATGTGGTCAGACAGTTGTGACAGGCTGGGATGAGATAAAGAAACACTGTTGTACATCTACATTCCCCCTCTGAAGCAGCTGCAGTCTGCCTCCTGAATACTCCGTAGTTCCGTGGTTTTACTTCTTTCCAAGGTGCAAACATGGGAAAGTATTTGGCAACCACCAGTTTTATCATCAACACTTAACACCAATGGTGCAGACAGTCATTGTACAAGTAGCAGTTCCACTGTATTACTGATCTTTCAGATCAAGGATTGAGAAAATAATCTCAACAACAAATGATTAAGAAAAGAACAACTCATTTAGAACAGTCTATGTGTAAACAGAAAGAAAACCATGTTCTTGGTATTAGCCAGTGCAAATAAACATACATACACACACCCCTCTTTCTCCCTATTCCACTTTTCTAAGCTGGCATAAATTTTACATCCCATATTTGCAAAAGTATTGCTGACATGGAGAATCTGACATGTCTATCATAATAAATCATTAGAGAGGCTGGTCTACCACATGTAAGACAGCCCTCTTGGTTAATTTTATGTCTTTGCACACAAGGCATTCTTGTTTGCTAATTTCCATTTGAATCCTATGTTTATTATTAATACTTGTGCTCTATCAGCTGCATAACTTTCTACTGCACAGGTTGAGTGACCCATCATAAATACCACTGAGAAGAGGTGGTTCATGGATTCTGTGCAATCAACACAAAACTCCCCTCAAACACTTCATATGTTCACAGCTTAAACTACACTGTTCCACTGATCAGCAGTAAATAAATATATATAATTATAATGCATGGATGAAGCCCTTCTCTCTCATTCTCATTGTCTTCCTTTCCACTCCCCCTTCCTCTGTCTCCTTGCTCTCTCTGCTGCTTATTTAAATATGGGAGTATGGAGAATGCAAATACAAGTGGCAACAGACGAAATGAGCTAGCATCTTTGTAATCATTAAGAGAAAATCTGAACAGTAGACTAAGTGGCAGCTAGCAGCAAAGCTGACTTTACACCTCCTATTGCCCCAGATTGGAAGCCTTCTGCATTTCCTTTTCCTTCCTTTCCTTTTGTTCATTGCAACACTGATTGTCGTGGATAGTCTTTGTGCTTTGTATAATGCCCATCTTTGATGTAACTGGAACTCACATACAAAATGTGGCTGTTATACATAAGCATGCTAGGATACAGGCAGGGACGGTACAAACATGCACAAAATTGTCTTTGAAGGAGTTTCTATTTGTTTTTCTTCAACATTTACATGCACCACTTAATATCATGTTTGGCTGTGTACACCGAGGACTGGATTTCACAAGCATTCATGATCTTCTCTTCTTAAAAGCTTCTTGACAATTTCACAAGAGCCCAGAGTAAAAAAAAAAAAAAAAGAACCCACAATTTAAAAAAGGAAAAAAGCCCCTTCTCCCTGCAATGTGATCTTGTCTTCATTATTTCTCTGTTGAACATTTTTTAAATGTCTCCTCTTCCTCATGAAGCAAAGCTTCATGTTAAATGATAGGCTTGAAAGACAGGTTAGTGTGTCAAGGATTTTCTTAGCCACTGGAATAGTTCTTCCTTATAAAGCCTTTGCCACCGCACATTGGCTTCCACTGTTTCCACAGCACGAGAGAAAGAGGCAGCTCCCTCTTCGTAGCTCTTTATAAAGTTCTTTAGCTGCAATAACAAGTTAACAGGTTACATTTGCAGGAACTAAAGAAAGTAAATATTTACAGTGCACACAAACAAGTCAGGCATTTAGGACCAAGCTCCTTGATCACTGTTGAAGTAAAGGTAATATTGTGTAGAAAGATGGAATAGGCTATGTAATAAGACAGCAGACTGCCAATTCCGTGTGATGCAATTGCTTCAAATAGCACTGGAAGATATTGACATGCCAGGGCTGGATCACATTAATATCATTACCTCCTTCTCTCCTGTAGCCCAGCTGCTGCAATGCACAGACAGCTGGGCTGCTCCAAGCTTTCATTTCTACCTAAGAAACCAAACTGGGAGCACTGGAAATTATTCTAATTCAGGTTTACATACAAATATCAGCAGATGTCCTGTTTTATTGACCTTCGTAACCAGTTTTTTTTGATTTGCAGAACTCTTTTGATGATAAAGTACAAGTTGGCTGATCAGAAAAGTAAGAGATGGCTACAGTGTGAAGAGAATGGCAAAACAGCAAGTGGGCACTCATTCAAGGATCTTTGAATGCCTGAACAGATTCTTTCCTTTATGAGAATTTTTTATCTTTTTCCAGCAGATTGAAAACGTCCCCGCTCTATTCTTGCATTTACTCAAACTACAGGAATATCACCTGGATTACTATAATGCTGATGGCACTGCTGTGCTTTGAATTACTATTCTTTTTAAGTGTGAAATGCAAGGCTGATCTGCACAGTAGGTTACTGGCTATGTTGACTTGTACAAAATTAGGTGGTTTTAGCAACACTTATTCATAACCACCTGATTTTTGTTTCCTGGTGACACCAAATTCAAATTTTTTATTTAAATCTATCTTCCAACAACATCTCTTGGTGCATGGGCTCAAAACTGAAAGCTGATCCTTCAACTATTTCATTCCCATCACACTTAAAGCATGGAAGGGACCTGGAAACTATCAAAATCAGCCCTTGCCTGATCTCTCAACTTCTTATATTGAAATATTTACAAGTCCTGTTTCTTTTAGGGGAAGTATAAACAAGCAGCCTGCCAATGCTATCACAGAGGGGGAAACTAAGAGTACCAAAGGCTTCCTTGCACAGCACAGATACTCAAATCTGGCCAGCACTGTCCTTCCCACCTGGGTAGCTTTGAGGAAACCAGCTGCAGCTCTTCCCTAACTTCCTAAAGCCACTAGACTTGAGTGCAGACAAATGGTTGGACACAAAATATCACAGTGCAATCAAAGTCAAATTAATGGTGATTATGTTGCATAAGAATAACTCAATCCATTTGGGCTAATGTGGAGCAGCTGCTAAGCAGTGCATAATACAACAGCACTACTACCTCTGTCAGGACACATTAAGATAAAAAGAGAAATCTTTGCAATATAAAAAAGTACTTAGCATTTAGAACAAATTATTGTGGTGTCATTTGGCCAGAATATCAGTTTAACAGCTTTTCTTACATGGAAATACTATAGGCAAAAGAAAAACAGAGAAGGCACTGGCCACTTCTAATTTCAACACTGGGGTTTTTCAGGGTTGCACTCTGCAGCATAAACTAATGTGGACAGAAAGATCTCATCTTTAGCTTCTCAATAGTCAAGAGAAGATAAACCTACATATCCAGCCAACCCATAGAGACGTGCTCACACTACCCACTTCCTGACACCATCTCTACCCACTCAGTGTCTTTGCAATCTGCTCCCCATCTTCATGCTGCCCAGCTGTAGCACGGGCCTGCAGCTCCAGCAGATTAACCAGATTTCCCAGGCAACTGACATCTTAGTGCTCCTGCTCTGCTCCATGCTTACAACAAACACAGCCTCACGCACCAAAAGTAATTTAAAAATTACCTCTCTTAGCTCTTCTTCCGTATTGAGGAATTCTGTGACTCCACTGACAAGTTTTGAATTCATAAATAATGCTTCTCCATACCTGCAAGGGCAAAAAGAAGATGCACAGAGAGTTAGTGCAAGTGCCAGAGCAGGTGGAAATTAGAAAGTAGCCTTCTGCAAGTGAGGGAGAAGGCATGGGACCGATACTGGGGATCCAAGGGTACAGCACTGGAATTGAACCTGGACTGAGACCTTCTTCTAGGCTGAACTATATATAGTTAACTTGTAATCAGATGCTCCTAAACACAACAGGCTTAAACACAGCTGCAGAGGAGAGCTCCAGAGGAGGAGAGGACCAAACCACCGCAATTCCTCATGCTTAACAAAACAGCTTTCCATGTAAGGACACCAAGCAGTTCAAAATGCAGGCACCAAAGAAGGAGCAGAGAAGCAGTTATGGAGACGTATTCTGAGAAACCCTTCTAGTCATACCATTAAAACAGACTTGCTGAAGTGCTGCAGCCCTCTCTGCATTTTGTATTAATCCACCTCATCTACATTACAAATAGCCTCTAGACAAGTGAACTGAATCAAATTCTCTTGTTCTAGTACCTGATAATTAAAATAAATAATACTGATAGAGAATAATATTGCTAAAATAATCCCCTGAGCCATGATTCTCATCTTCAGAGAATTAACTTGGAATAAAAATCTGAAAGCTTGGGCAAGGAATATTTCAAGGCCAATGCGTAATGGGACAGGATATTCAACAGCAATCAGCAATGAGCTTCTGCAGGTAGTTGCTTTAAAACTGACCATTCAAATTCTACTGTTCCACATGCTTTTCCACAAGTTTTTTTCAATCCCCCTGACATTTTGCATTCATCTTGGAATAGTTTGTGGGTTGTTTTTTTTTAAGTGCCTAAGTAATGTAGAATGGAAACCAAAAGCAAGTTTTGTGTTCAAGTTAGATGTCATTCAGCATAGTAAGAGGCACTTGACAAACAGTTATCCTTATCTTATACTTACCCTTATCTGCACATACATCCAAAGCAGTGTCTAGCTAATCTGAACATGACTGTTTTTAAGATAGAGAATCCAGCTCTCCTGTCAGACGTGTAAATAATACCAACAGACTTCACTGCAATTAGGTTTATCTGAGAGAAAAATTCAGTTCACACTGACTTAGTGGTGGAATTCAAAATTTAAAGTGAAACGAACTAGCACAGTCACAGCTTTCTGTTCTGCTTCTATTAATCCCAAATTAATTACCCTTAAATGCTTAGATACTGTAAACCACAATCCTTTCAAAAGGAAGAAAAAAGGGAAAAGCAGAGGGATAGCCCCAGAGAGAGGGATAAAAAGAGGGCAAAGAAAATAACTGGTTTTTTTTAGAATATTCTGTTTTAGGAAAGGTATACAGTGTGTTGCTTGCTACCTTTAGCTTCTGTGAGGGGAAACAGTTACAGTTATCAAAAATCCTACTCCCTGACCAATAATAACTGAATTATTCATGGATATTCCAGCAAGTACATCTCTGCAAAACTTCAGTTACACTGACATATACAGGCATCCAGATGTGAATGCCTCCTACAGGAAGCATGGATTTCATGGTCCTTTAAGCATGTTCAGGCTTTCTAGCGAAGTCCTTTATTATTACAGTCTCAGCTTAGCCTCGTAATTGACTGCTTGGAAAACTGGAATCTCCTCTTGATGGGGTCTTTTGACAAGGTTACTAATCCACTTTACAGAAGTGACCTCATAAATAGTGCTGCAGGAATTTTATTATTCTTGCTGTCTATACTGTAGCCACAGTGTAAACAAGAAGTAACAGAATTCCTTCCACTGAAAATGATACCTTCATAAATACTTGTGTTGATTACTGCCCATTACACATATTTGGTAAAATGTCAGCCACTAGCAACAATTTTTAAATGGGCTCTACTGGCAAACAATTTAAAAGAGCCACCTCCCAAACCAGTATTTTGCAGGATTGGAACATAAGAATAAATAGAAAAAATGCTTGGTCTTGCAATTATCAGTCTTCCCAACTTTCATAGGAAAGACAACAGCACTGCAGAATCAGGACCTTATTTGCCTGAGATCCCTGGTGAAACCCTGGAGTCACGGGCTCTTCACTAGCTCCTTTATTTCTGGGGATGTGAACCTCCAGTGCCTTATACTGCCTTTGTACTTGAGCCAACTCAAGAGGCAGCACAGTCCATTTACTTGGGAGAGATGTAAATGGCTTCCCAAATATTATCAAAAACCGAAATGGTGAGAAATGATTCAGCACTTGAAACTGCAGGAATACTTAGAGGCAGCTGTTTGGATTAAATTTTCACACACAGACACACACATGTACACACAATGAAAATTATTCAGGAGCTGAGGCAGTGCCTGCTCAGGTAACAGGGACTCAATCGTAGCATCTTTCTCTTTTTCAAATTTTAGCAGTCTTGGTCCCACTGACTTCCTATAAAAGACTTGTTATGCACCTCAATTTCTATGTCACCTTTGTAAACGGGTTATGAGCAATTCTGAAGACTTTATCAGTATCCTCTGGACAATATGATTACAAACATAGTGTAAAAATATAAAGGGATAACAATATCTTGTTGTCATTCTACCTCTTTCTCCTTTAAAGTCAGAGAAAATAGTGTTCTAGCATAATTGAATCACCATCAGCTATTCCACATTACTATCTCAGACACCAACACTTTTTATAACAAATTCAATGGGAAACACCACTGAAAAATCACCTTATTAAATTAATGTTTCATACAAAGTATTTTAATTTTAAATAAAATTTTAAAAATAAATAATTAATTATAATTGTAGTAAAAATATGCCTTGGGACAGAATATGCTTGACCTATAATTTTGCAGTTAAACTTGTGTTTTAAAAATTAACTACTGTGACAGACTGAAATCAGAAGCCCAATTTTGCATTCCATCATGTCACTGTTCCACTGATCACTTTCAGGGGGCAAGGTGTTAGACTAATTCCAGCCTCTCAATGTCTCTCTTAAAAGGTTTTAATCTAAAACTACAAAACAAAGTTATCCATATATATGAACTATTTTATTCCACTGCATTGAATCCTCTGGTGATTGATAAAACCTTAACTGGATGTCTCTTTCAGAAAAATGCAACTGCTACAATCCTTTTGGTCTTACTTCTCTTTGGAGATCAAATTGAATGTAGGTAACATAAAGTTTGTGTTGGGCAAAGAGGCAGACTCTCTGTTTTTTTCTCATTAAAAAAAGACAGTAGCAGGCTTCTGGTGAGGTCTTTCTGATTGTTAGGAACTCAGCTAACACAGTCATGCATTCCAATCAAGGGAGAAAAACACAATTCAAAATGTAGGTGAACTTAAGCTATATAAAATTTAAATGCACAAAAAAAAATAGCATCTGGCACAGTTTCCAAATCTTTTCCATTTTCTACACTGCTCAACCTTGTTTAAGTCTAAAATCACAGGTTTTACCTAGGTTGTCAGATGTATGTACTTGCTAAGGCAGGACACAACTTCTGCATACATCTTTGTGATTTTGACAGATTTATGCCTAAATTCTCAACAAATCCCTGGAGGAACCTGAAAAATTATTTGCTATCCAAAGCATAACCAACTGCACTGGGCTGCACAATAGTACCAGGTCTGCCATACACTTTTTGTGTAAAAGTCCAGTCCTTGGAATAATCATTCCAGAAGCAGAGGATTCTTCATTTTTAAACTCTTCAGCACTCTTAAGAGCTTTTCAGAAATTGCTTTCAAAAAGTGTGCTTCTGCAATATAAACTTCCCAAAACAATTCCAGCTCAAACCTATTTTCCCAGTTGAACTTCTTCTAAAGTACTATACTATATAAGTATATACACTAAAAAATCACAGACTGTTAGGGGTCAGAAAGGGCCTCTTGAGATTATAAAGTCTAATCCCCCTGCCAGAGCAGGACCAACACAGAATCTAGGGCAGGTCACACAGAAACAGATCCAGATGGGTCTTGAAAGTCTCCAGAGAAGGAGACTCTGCAACCTCTCTGAGCAGCCTGTTCCAGTGCTCCGTAACCCTCACAGTAAAGAAGCTTCTTCTCACGTTGAGGTGGAACTTCCTGTGTTCTAGTTTGCATCCATTGCCGCTTGTCCCATGACAGGGCATGACTGAAAAGAGATTGCCCTCTCCTTCTTGACACCCACCCTTCAGATATTTGTAGACATTAATAAGATCCCCTCTCAGTTTTCTCTTATCTAGATTAAACAGGCCCAGGTCTCTCAGCCTTTCCTCATAAGGCAGGTGCTCCAGTCCCTTAATCATCCTCGTAGCCTCCGTTGGACTCTCTCAAGTAAATCCCTGCCCCTCTTGAACTGGGGAGCCCAGAACTGGACACAATACTCCAGGTGGGGTCTCACTAGGGCACAGTAGAGGGGAAGGAGAACCTTCCTCAACCTGCTGGACACACTCTTCTTAATGCACCCCAGGATACCACTGGCCATCTTGGCGACAAGGACACATTGCTGTCCCATGGATAACTTGTTGTCCACCAGGGTTCCAAGGTCCTTCTCCATGGGGCTGCTCTCTAGCAGGTTGGCTCTTAATTTGGACTGGTGCATCTGGTTATTCCTTCCCAGGTGCAGGACTCTACACTTACACTCATTGAACCTCATTAGGTTCCTCTTTGCCCAGCTCTCCAGTCTGTCCAAATCTTGCTGAATAGCTGCACAGCCTTCCAGTGAGTCAGCCAGTCCTCCCACTCTGTCCCCTCATCCAGGTTGTTGATGAAGATGTTGAAAAGGACTGGAGCCAGCATTTATCCCTGGGGATTCCACTAGTTACAGGTCTCCAGCTGGACTCTGCAGCTTTGATCACCACACTCTGGGCTCTGTTGTTTAGTCAGTTTTCAATCCACCTCACTGTCCACTCTTCACTGCACGCTTCCTAAGCTTGCGTACAAGGATGTTACAGGAAACAGTACCAGACAGTGTCTCCCATAAAGTATTATCCAGAATGGCATTAACAACTTTTTGATTCTTTAGGAATGTTGCACAGTCTCTGAGCTGCCTTGGCTCTTCTTTCAATGTCATAACACCTATAGTAAGTTTGTACCTGTAATCATCAGTCACTAGGATTTATTTAAACACAGCATCTTAAATATACCATATTCTGTGGTGCACTAGATGGCTCCTCCCAAGTCCAGAAAAGAAGAAAACTCAAATCCTTTTTCTGTCAACACCATGGGAATGGTTTGGCATGGAGTGCCTGAAGCTCTTGGACATCTGCCTTTAAGAACTTGAATCTCATCTGAATTATGGTCCCTTCTAATCTATCAGTATCAGATGAGCTGCTGTGAAAACTTTCAGACCCTTGGGTTCTTCCTAAACAATTAAATAAACTTATTTATTGAATTAATGTCAAAACCATAATAAGAAAGGATTTTAAAATGCTGACTGAGCTTCTAAATAGGAGCTTGTATCACCTGTTCAAAGAGAAAGAAGAGCAGGTATAAGGAACAACCTAGTCTCCTTCCTGTTCACCTTTTTTAATTCAAACTGTTGCTCCTCTATTACTTGAAGCTCACCTGAAACACAGAGTGGAACAAAAGGGGATGACACTATACTAGTATCCTGTTTGAAATGAAAATGTTTCAAAGAGGATTTGGTGTTAAACTAATGTGCTTGAAAAGTGTTTGTTTTGGGTTTTTATCTGACAGACTTAAAATCAGCAGAATCCCTTTGGGAACTGCCGCTTTTTAATCTCTGTAAAAGTATAACTGCAGTACTTGACGTATAGATAGAATTCATTATCATAAGTGCAGACATCAGTACAGTAATAGATATATATACAGATCATCACCAAGAGATAAATGTTTCTATGCATGTGTGTAATAATCCATGAATAAATGTATTTATGACTCATATATATGTATATCATATTTAGACACATCTCTTTTTATGGATTTTTAAAAAATGGACTAGCTTCAGGAATTTATATGAATACATACATATACAATACTTACATGAATTACATCAAAATAAGAAAATGAAAGTAAATTTAGACTTTTTATCTTTACCTAGCATTTAATATTTTCCATTTTTCTCTGAAAAACTTCCAAGCAAGATCCCTTCCATGTGGATTTCGAGCTACGTGGATTATCACATCAATTGCATCCTGATCCAGGACAACTTCCGAGTTGAGAGACAAATTCAAAAGCCTAGTGAAAGAAAAAAAACCATCCTATTTATCTTCAGCAACACATAGTCTAACAACACCACAACTGGAAACTCTCAGAAAAAAAAAAAAAATCATAGCAACATGGTTTAGTCTCCAAGTGAGTTCAGTGTTTACTTTCCTGATTCCGAAGACCAGACAAATTTATGAATCAGAAAAATCTTGATGGAAAAGAATTTCAGTAAATGCTGAATGGAATTTTACATGTGTATTTTTATAACATCAGTAAGACCACAATGGTCAATAAATTTAAATAAAGAATATGCTAACAACAAATAACAGCAATTATCATAGGATTTCAAACATTTTAAATCAACATAAGACTATTTGGATGTGAAAAGACCTATTATATGTAAATTTTCATATGCATTAAGGCCTGTGCTTGAAAAACACGGTTCTTTAATTTAGACCAAAGCTCAAGGGATAATCTGTAACTGTTGGAGAGATTAATGCTAATAGCCAGATACAGATATATTTTTGTACCTGTTAAGCAAGTTTCTGTCATCACTGCAAGTCAAGGCTTCTAATAATATCTTCTTCTCAGACACTGCTGTGGTAGAATGAAATTTCATCCAAATGAACTCCCATACATCTTCATCCATCAGTGAAACTCCTGTACAGTAGACAATGTCTCTCACATTGAGTGGGATCCTACAAAACACATCAGTAATAGCATTGTAGTAAATAAGCAGTGTCTTGATACTGGAAACAAAGGATGAATATGACTACATTTATGAGACTCCAAAATTAAAGTGCAAGAGTAGTATTTTTTTTAATATTACATTTGCATCCCTTTACTGCCACCAAAATCTTCCAGGTCATCCTAATGGATTTTCTAAAAGGTAAGTCATGCTTGTCATTCTTTTTGTAGTGCTGTCACACTGTCAGGAGACTATAAATTATGGTTATCCAGTCCATCAACACATAACGTCCCACATAACCTGTGGGACATTTAACGTAAGTTCTCCAAATTAGCATGGGACCTTCCCACTCTTGCTGGGCTCTAAGCCAAATCTCTTCTTGTCCTTAGTACTGAGGTTTTAGAATGGGAGCTGATCAGCCAGAAACTCCCCTTGCTTGTGGTGTAGAGCGCTCTTTCATCTTCATATAGTAATACATAAAAAAGTAAAAGTGTGCTGAGACAATGCTACTTTAAAATGGTGTTTTCAGGAGTAAAGAACATAGAAAGATCTATTCATTTTTTCAGCATACCAACACTAGTAGAAAACCAGCTATGCCACAGGATGGTTGTGAACTGTGATTACAGCGCAAGTAATATAAACTCAGACTAGAGTTAATTGAGAGCTTCTTGAAGCCAAATTCAGACCTAGCATAGAATGTGTACTATTTTCTTCTAAAAAGGACCCCATTTGGGCTTTCAGCTTCCTGCCCTGCTTATGTTTGCTATACAGGTATAGAAGCTGAAACATTTGTGAGCTAGAGGGGATTCCTGCAGATAAAGCCAGACACTTCTCAGAAATATGTTTCTGATTTACAGGAAAGAATGCCCTCTTTTTCTTAGTAAAAATTATACCAAAACACAGTTCTCTAGTTACTAATAGCTGGGCTGATACACCTCTGGAATTTCATTGGAAAGACCTATTTCGAGAATCTAGAAATACATACAGCTGCTGTCAGCGTCTGGACAGTAACACAGTGTGACAAAGAATTAAATTACTTATGTAAAATTTTATATCAAGCTTTACACAACACAGAAATTAAAGGCTACATCAATATTTTAATTAAAAGACTTTCACCAAACTCTTATAACATTGACTGGGCTACACCAGTCAAGAACAAAGAGGGTTTTTTACTCCTATCAATTCATTCTCCAGAAAAAAAACCCCTTTCTTCCACTGAAACATTCTACTGTTGGGCTCTGTGATGAGTGTTTTTGTTAAAAACTTCAGCTAATCTCTTTGGCCATGTCTGAGTAAAGCAAGGTAAAAAGTCATATACTGGTGACTCTGAATGGCTACAAACTGTTGTTGCCTCTATGGGGTTAGCTGATCTCAACAACTATGATAGCATCTTGAGAAAAAGAATAAAACAAGTATGTAGCTAAATTGAGGCAAAATTGGAGAAAAAAGTGCAATCCTGCTCCTACCAGCTGAAGAACTTCAGGGAATTAATGCCTACTGCTTTTATGTTATATTTTTTCTGAGTAATAAAAATTACTTTGAGGCTTTATTCATGCTCTCTGGTGAATGTAGTCACCAGCTGAGAGGGTGCATGTTGAGATGCAGTCACATGAATTTTGCTTCTGCTGAGCAAACATGGTTCAGGACAATGCTTCTTCTTGGATATTTTTTAGCAGTCCCATGCTATCAGAGGCACAAAGGGCTGCTTTAACTAGTGCTAAAGTACTTTTGCATTTGATGCAGACAAACCCAGACATTTATCAAACAGTTGACTCTCCAAAGTAGAACTGAAAAAGTAGGCAAGAGAAATGCAATCCATTTTAAAGTTGCTAGGAATATGAAACTTTTAACTGTTTTGCTGCTGGTGCAGCATGCACCACCAATATTGCCTTCTAAAGCAAAATCAGAGGTGCTATGTCTCCTCTCTCCCATGAACTGCTACCATCTAGCCAGTGTAGATTGGTACTACAATGCAGATCCTGGCATGGCTTGAAATCTTACTGTTTCTTCTACTCCCACCACCAAACCTTTTTATGAGAACATGCCCATCCTGAGCCACGCCAGGCAATTAACACTGCTATAGGTATGACCACATAGCTCCAGCAATGCCTACATGGCACTAACACACAGATGGGACTTCCAAAAAATGCCACTTCCATAGTTCACCCCCCTTCCTGTTACCTTCTTAGATTTTTTCCCTCTCTGTTCAGATGACCTAAAAAGCTTCGCACTGAAAAAAGTAACTCCCCTCAGATTTACCCAGGATAAATTTGGGTTTAGATGTGGTCTATGCAACTGCATATGTCACTCCTATAGAACTGCTACATCAACACAAAGGTAATCAGAGAACCCTTAAAGCTGAACAGAACCACTAAAAGAAATAGTGCTTAAACATATGTAGGCAGTAAAGACAAAAAAATCATCACTTTCACCAGCCTTGCCATACTACTGAGTTTTGAGTCTCAAAAACTGAACTAACATTAGCAAAATGAGAGATTGGTTGACATTTACAGAATTATCCATGTGTGCTGAATTTCCATTTCACTATAATGGAATTTGTACTTCTTCTTACTTCACAGTTTATCATTAAGCCCTTGTTGCGATATATCAAACATTAATTAATATCAACAGTTTATTTTTCCCTCATTTAACCTTTCTTTCAAAAAGTGCATGCAAAGGAAACTGCATATAATTCAATATATTACAGAAAATTAAGACTACTTATTTAAACACAAGATAGAAATACATACTAAAATTAATGGAGCAAATATTTAGATGCTGCCTTTGTGTTGGCTTATATGAACTCAGAATGAGGTTTAAAGTTTTCTCAGTAACTACAACTCTCAAAACTTTAGGTCAGCAATTACAGTAACATTAATATGCAGCCATATACACATACCCTGCATAGAACATGAAAGTGATATTACTTGATATCTATGTGTCTTGATTTTCTGATATAATAGGTTGTCCTTAAAAGCACAACTTCCTTGCAAGCTTAAAGATTTTTTGGTTTTTAATTTGTGATATAATACACTGATAGCAGCCATAAAAACACAAGCTAGGCCAAAAGGACTAAGGGATGCTACTCTCAACATGAGACCAAACAACCCATTGCCTCAAACCTGTCTTATCATATAATATCTGAGTATGAAGAGCAACTGAAACCAGTCAAACCTTACTTCAATAAAAGAAAGACTTCATATCTTGACAGACATGCACTAAATAATTTTTTAGAAGCACACATAGTTCTTTCTGAGCTTTGCTGGCAGAAATATTTTCTTTGGTTTACTGCAAGAGATGTGACTCAGCCAAAAGATACTCTAAGGAGCTATAAGGCACCTGGAAAAGGAAACTCTTTTTTTGGTAGATTGCCCTGTTAATTCAGGTGAGAACTGTGTGCTGGAAGGAGAGTCAATCTGTGTTGGCTAGGACAATCAGAAACAGAAGTACGAAGAAGTGGATGTCTAACCCCAGAAACATCAGCATTCCTCACTTGTGAAGTTTACATTTTTTAAATTTACCATAAAACATATTGATTCAACAAGCCTCCCCAGCTACTGCAGTTTTACATTCTAAGTGCCAACACTAGCAGCTTCAGCAGCAGTGCAGCCAGTAACCACAGGCTCATTTGCACACTCTAGGAAGGAAACAGGACTTAAAACAAGTGATGGCAATGATCCCACACTCATAGCCTGGATGCCCCCCATGCCACCGAATCAGTAAGAGCAAATTTGCAGGGCTGCAGCAGATCTACTCAATATTATCCAACCAATTGCTCCAGGGAAGGTTTTAGGTCTCTTATCTACAAGCTAAGACATTAGGACAACGTGAAAAAAATCAGCCCCTACAAAACAAGACATCAAAATAAATACTGATTTTAAATGGCTTAGCTTCAGAAACTACAAAACTTCCAGCTATGAAAAGCTACAAATTACTCCTGTGAGAGGCTTATAATCAAGACTGTAGACAAGGGAGTTCTTGTGGAAATGAAAATTGTTTATGAAAATGCAAATATCCCCAAAGTCTTTTTAACTATTGCCTCAACAGAGAGCCCTCTAATTGAATTTTCTCCATTTGTGGGAAGTTTTGCTTTGTCTCTCCTCCAGTAATTATGGGCTGGTATTTCATCATTACCTAAACATGTGAAATCTCTCTAGTCTACAGATTTTTTTATTTTATAGCTTCACGGAAAATGTTGTTTTAAAATTGCAGTTCAATGGCACTAGATCAGCATGTGGAATGTTTGCCCCTTGTATTAACTGAATCAAGTGGATAAAATCACCATTGTTTCAGTACTGCTTAGGTAGTAACACTGCAGAATGTATCCCCTTATCTTAAACCTCATCTGGGCCTTCAAGGCTGCTCTCATTTTTAAAAAGCTAATATGATTGATGGATACTTCAGAAGAATAAAGATAAAGATTAACTTTTGAAAGCATCACTTTAAATGGCTTTCATTTTAATACAATCCAATTTATTTAATGTTATTTTTCTTGCTTAAGAGATATGATAGTCAGAATGAAATACGTAGCTAGCAGAGCTAATGTTTAAAAATTAAATACTTGGGGAAAAAAGTTTAAAATTAAACAGTTAGAAAAAAATTAATTAAAATCGTGCTGTGCCTTTACAGGGAATTTTTTTTCCAAGAGCGAATAATAAAGCTCTGCAATGAGCTAAGAATAATCTTCTAAGTTATAATTAATTGATACATACTTGCTCCCATTTAAAGTATGTTTTAACAATTGGAGATACAGTTATAAAATTGGACCATAATTATTTATCTTCTGGGCAAATTGTGTTCTATTTTTTTTTTAATGGAATTGCACACAGTTTAGACAGCTCTTTGATTAAGTGACAAATTTCAATATCATTTAGGGTACTATTTGTCAAAGAAAATTAATCAGAAAAATATTCTTTACTTTTGCAACTATTTAACATTTAACTTGAGCCTATTATTCTTGATTACTATATTTATAGTCTTGTTTAATAGGTTACAAGGTTCAGATAAGAC